CTGCACCTGGGGGACCAGGTACACTGCTGCCCACTTGGCAGAGCCCATGTGGTCCTGAAGGGAAAGCTGTAAGTGACAAACCCAAGAAGGCATCACGTGCCAGCGGCACACTGCCACGCACACTCTGTGCCCGAGGGACAAAAGTCCCTCTGCCAGCTTTTAGTCAGCGCGTTTAATTCACCAAACAATGTCTAGGAGGCATCTGCACTGGGCCAAGGTCATTCTGTTCATTTGGTTCAAGTACAAAGAAATGCTCTTGGCACATGCCTGTAATCCCGGCATTCGGGAGGCTGAGGCACGAGGATCATTTCATTTGAAAGCAGCCTGGGCTACAAAATGAGCTCAAGGCCAGCCTGAACTGCATAGCAAGACCTTGTCTCAAAAAGACCGAGAGGGAGGGAGGGAGGGATAAGGAGAGACGTTCTCTTAAAGAATCAATATTTTGGGGCCGGGGAGATGGCTCAGTAGAATAAGCGCTTGCCTGGCAAGCTCAAGGGTCTGAGTTCAATCCCCGATTCCGAAAAAAAAAAAAAAAAGAATCAATATTTTACTGTGAGCTAGACTCAACATTGTTTTTTCTAATGACCTCCCCAGCTCAAAGAAAACTAGTCATCGCTAACTTCCCTACTGTCAGCCTTCCCCGGAAGGCCTGTCCTGCTTCCTGGCCTTTCCTCTGCCTCCCTCCTCACCCTGCACTCCTCCTGTGCCCTTCCTTCTGCCCTAGGACCCAGCCTCACTCAGGCCTCAGCAGCAAAGCAGCCCCCAGGCATCCACGCCGCAGGGCTGCTGTTATCCCGCATGGACTCAGCTCCACGGTGGTGGCCTTGCCTAGCCCATACCTGCTCCTGCTGGACTCTGGTGGCCTGCTAGTGTACCTTTTGTCTTCTCTGGGGGCACTGACCCCAGATGTCCTCCTGCAGGCAACACTGGGCTGTATGCCTACAGCAAAGGCTGCTGGTCCACCTGATCACTATCTGTCATTCCTGACACATTGCTGAGCACGTCTTCCAGTTCTCACCATAGTTAGGTGTAGCAATGGGGCTGAGGGTTAGACAGAAAACAGTGACAGAAGGAATGTGGGTGGTCCCGGTCCTTGCTGTGAGAGCATCCACACGTTCCCTCATATGCTTTGGGACAGCTGACTGGGTGCAAGCCCTGTGGACAGTGCTCTGGGATCCACACAGAGATAGTCAGAGACCCTAAATGGGACCTGGCCCCACTGGGTGGCCACGCAGCAGTCCTCCATGGACTTCCCATCACCTGCTCTTTGTGGTCCCTTACTCCTGGGATGCCTCCTAGGATGTGGCTGGTTACACAGGCACCCAATGTACTTATTCTAAGAAGCAGAGGGTCAAAGCCACTCCTGGCTCTCTGACTCCCGTTCCCTGACGCATAGTCCTTCCCGGAAGGAAGCTCCCACAGGGAAGACAGGCAGGGCAGCATCTGAGGAAGGTCTGCAGCCAAGAGTGTGGCTCTGCTTAAGCAGAGGGAACTCAGTGGGGTACAGGGAACCTGGCTGGGCCAGTGATCTGCTACTTAGAACAACCTCATTCACTGTCAACAGCAGGAGGTCAGACTCTGGGGAGAACTAGTACAAGAGGGAAGAAACTTAAATGGAGGCCCTTCCCCCAATGGTACTGGCCACATTTCACCAGGAAATGCTATGGACGCCAGCAGCAGTTTCCTGGATAACTCACTCTGTCATTGCGGGGACACAGGTGCCTAGCAGCCCCACTCCACCCTGGCTGCTGTACACTTTTCTCACAGCACGGTGCCAGCAGTGCAGGAGTATGGGACATACCACCTTTATTTTATAGACTGAGAAATGAAGAGTGAACCATGACAAAGCTGAGACTCAAACATTGCTTTTCTAATTCAGTCTATTTAACATGTGATGGCTGTGTTTAGATGTCCCCAAAGCCTCATGTGATCACAGGTGGGGCTGTCTCAGAGGTGGCTGGATCTAGAGTGTGGGCTACTGGGACTGATTCATGGTGCAGTGCTGGCTCCAGGGTGCTAGGATTAGGGTGTGAGTGCGACCTGCCCTATATAACCTGGATAATGGCCCGGGAAGATGGCTCAGTAGAATGAGCACTTGTGTGGAAAGCACAAAGGCCTGAGTTCAATCCCTGGTGCCACCAAAAAAAAAAAAAAAAAAAAAAAAAACAAAACCAAACAAACAAACAAAAAAAACACTTCACAATTTGGGGGCCTGCCCAGTAGCTCAGTTGTTTAAGTGCCTGCTTAAACAAAGCCCTCAAGCTCAAGCTTCTGTGGTTCGAACCCAGACAGTCACTGCAAACCAGAAATGCCCTAAAGGCATTTCGAGCC